TCAAGCAGAAAATGTCTTGGAAATTATGATGGCAACATATGTACAAATATGCTTGATACAAATGACGTATGGAATGTTTTAAGAGCTGTAAGAGCCCACAATAAAGTGAAAAAAAAAAAAAGAACAGTACAAACTGAAGTGCAAGTTAAACACCAGATTTCTAATTTCTCCACGCTGTTGTACTATTGCATCATCTCTGATATCAACCAGTCTTCCCCCACATCAGTTTGTATCTTCCATCTCTGTTCAGTTTGACAATTTGCTCCTGTGTCTCACAGAACTCACAAACTGTATCTATATGATATATTAGGGAAGGAAATGGCTACAAATTGGGATCAGGATCAAGTTGGAAGTAGTAATAGGAATAGAATTAACTGGGAAGTAACAGGTAATATCTCAAGATCAGTGTTAGGAAGCACATAGGCAATAATGAGAAGATTCTCCCAGACTGAAGAGCACCTTTCTATTTTTTTAAAATCATTTTATTGGGGCTAAAACCGCTCTTACCACAATCCATACATAACCTGTTTCCTGGAAAATAAGACATCCCTCCAAAATAAGACATACTTACAGTTTTGCCTCTCACTGAAATATAAGGCATCCCCTCAAAAATAAGACCTCCCAAAAAATAAGACTCCCCCCCAAGCTACCGTAACTCTCGACTCTGGACCGTAGCGGCGGGCCACGCAGCTCACTTTTGGTCGCAGCACAGCAGGAGCAGACAGGAAGTATGAGGTCTCTTTTAATAAAACAATAAATATGTACCGTGTTCTTCCTGGAAAAATAAGACATCCCCTGAAAATAAGACCTAGCGCATCTTTGGGAGCAAAAATTAATATAAGACACTGTCTTATTTTTGGGGAAATGGTACATCCACTGTGTCAAGCACATTTGTAATTTGTTGGCATCACCATTTTCAAAACATTTTCTTTCTAGTTAAGCCCTTGGTATCAGCTAATTTTTCCCTTCCCTCGCTCATGAACCCTTGATAATTTATAAATTATTATTTTTTCATGTCTTACACTGACTCATGTCTCCCTTCACCCACTTTTCTGTTGTCCGTCCCCCTGGGAAAGGGTTATATGTAGATCATAGTGATCGGTTTTCCCAGTCTTCCACCACCTTCTCCTTCCCCTCCTGCTATTGAAACTCTCATTATTGATCCTGAGGAGTTTATGTGTCCCAGATTCCCTGTGTTTCCAGCTCTTATCTGTACCCCATGTACATGCTCTGGTCTAGCCAGATTTGTAAGGTAGAACTGGGATCAAGATAGTGGGGAGGAGGAAGCAATAAAGAACTTAAGAGGAAAGTTGTATGTTTCATGGGTGCAATACTGCACCCTGACTGGCTTCTCTTCCTTGTGAGCCTTCTGTAAGGGGATGTCCAACTATCTACAGATGGGTTTTGGGTCTCCACTCCGCGCTCCCCCTCATTCACGTCGTGGGGTTAGATCGGACATAATTCCTGCACTGTGCCTCCAGTGTTGTCCCTCATAGTGATATGGGTCCGTGAGGGACGTCTTGTATTGTGGTGGGGCCAGCCCTATGGTCCTCTCTGTGCACTGGCTGCTCGGAGCAGGAATATTGCCCTGGGGATTGGTGGGGAGCACCTTTCTTCATTTAGCATAGGGCAGTTCTCTCTCAGCCATGCACCTTCCCTCAGAACAGGCTCCGTTCCCACTCTGGTAATCCCACCTGTAACTGAAATATTGGTCTGCCACCAAGCATGCATTTGTGATGGTTTTCCTGGACCTCCCAGGCCCCTTTTAAAGCGCTATAGATCAGCAAACCCTTGGACAGCAGTAAGGCCTCGTGCTAATGGTCTGTGTCATCTGGATATGTCTTCATCTTGTCTGGGTCACTTTTAAAACTTAATGTTTTCTAAAACAAACAAACTTGAGCACTGCCTCACTGCAGACAGTTAACTATACCTGCAGCATAATGAAAACATACATGTATGAGGTAGAAAATGGGTGAAAATTGTCTATGAGATTTGTTCTGGCCTTTCTATAGTCGTGTATAAAAGTTTGTACTCAATATAACTGAGATATTATCAAGGAGGGGAAAAAAGGACTAATAAAATAAATCTAGGCTTCATTAACCTACAGTACTTCCATAAATACTGACTGAAAGTACTCATTCGTCTATGCCAGGAAATTTAGAAGATAGCTACTTGGCCAAATGACTGGAAGACCATCCATATTTGTACTTATTCCAAAAAAAGTGACCCAATAGAATGCCAAACAATTGAACAATATTATTGATATCACACATAAATAAAATTTTACACCCTCCAGTTCCCTTTCCCATTGGATCAAAACACATCTGGGTGTTCGTAAAAGGAGGAAAAGAAACATTGAAGCTGGCCCTCAGTGCTCTTGGAGCTCGGGCTAGTTCCAAACAGGGTAAAAATAAATTAATAAAATAAATATATTTTTTTAATTTTGCTGAAGATCATCCAACAAAGGTTACAGCGGTACATTGACAAAAGAATTGCCAGAAGTTTAGGACAGATTTGAAGAGGACATGGAACAAGGGATATTGCTGATGTCAGATGGAGCTTGGTTCAAAGCAGAAAATAGGAGATGTTTACCTGTGTTTCATTGACTACGCAAAGGCAATAGACAGTGTGAACCTAATAAACTGGATAAATAACCTTGAGAAGAATGAGAATTCTAGAACATTTCATTGTGGTAATTCGGAACTTGTACATGGATCAAGAGGCAATTGTGCAGAAGAACAAGTACATGCTGCATGGTTTAAGATCAGGGAAGGTGAGCCTCAGGGTTCTATTCTCTAACTGTGCTTGTTCAATCTGCAGGCTGAGCAAATCATTAGGGAAGCTGGGTTATATGAAGAACAATATGGCATCAGGATTGGAGGAAGGTTTATTAACCTGCAATATGCAGATGACACAACCTTACTTGCTGAAAGTGAGGAGGACTTGAAGCACTTGCTGATGAAGAGCAAGGATTGTAGCCTGAGTGGTAAAGACAACAACTCAATGTAAATAAGACAAAAAAAATCCTCACAAGTGGACCAAAAGGAAACATTGTGATAAATGGAGAAAATGTTGAAGTGGTCAAGGATTTTGTCTTGCTTGGATCCACAATCAATACTTACGGAAGCAGCAGTCAAGAGATCAAAAGATGCATAGCTTTAGGTAAATGCGGTGCACTAGTCAGTCCTCTTTATATTGAAGAGCAAGGATATTACTTTGAAGACTAAGTAGACCCAAACCATGGTATTCTCATATGCATGTGAAAGGAAGACTATAAAAGTGAAGCATTTGAATTGTGGTAGTGTAGAAGAATACTGAAAATACAATGGACTGCTAAAAGAACGAACCAATCTGTCTTGAAAGAAGTCCAGCCAGAGTGCTCCTTACAGGCAAGGATATTCTTAAGACTTCATCTTACATACTTTAGACATATCGTCAGGAGAGACCAGTACCCAGAGAAGGACATCATGCTAGGTACAGTGGAGGGTCAGTGAAGGAGGGGAAAGCCCTCAAGAGGTGGACTGACACTGTGACTGCAACAATGGGCTCAGGCACAGGAACAATTGTAAGGATGGCGCAGGACCAAGCAGTGTTTTGTTCTGTTGTGCATAAGGTTGCTATGGATCAGAGCCTGCTCAATGGCACCTAACAACAACAGGTTTCATTTAAAAACAAAAAATAAGCCTCTTTTTAGCTAAGTGTGAGTCCCACTGGGCTATTTCTGCTTTCAGTAGTACAGCCCAGGACTCCTACTAAAACACTTAAAAAGTGCTCCACTAGTACAGAGGCTGCAACAATGGGCTCAGCATAGGAACAATTGTGAGGATGGTGCAGGACAGGCAGGTGTTTCCTTCTGTAATGCATGGGGTCCCTATGGGTGGAAGCCAACTCAATGGCACCCAATGACAAAGACAGCAGCAACCCTTCTGAATGAAAGTGCTCAGCTCTTCCCTGTTTCGTTTGTTTCTCTCCTCACCTCTGACATCTCCAGAGGGTTGGCTTTTATCATGTTGGCTCTAATCTATTGGGAAGGTTTTCAAGTTGTCACTGCATAAGTCATTTTTGACATAATTGAAAAAAGGTATTTTTTAAAAATGCGTAATCTACACCACGTAAGAATCTGGCCAGATGGAGTACATAGGACTCAAACTGACATCTGTGGAAAAGCTCAGTATCATAAGTCAGAAGGTGGTCAGGGACCTCTGCAGAACAGACCATCACTTAATCATATGCAAGTTCAAGCTTAAACTGAAGAAAAATTAAAACAAGTCCATGAGAGGTATAACCTCCATCCAGTGGGTCCCACCTGAAATCCAGAGACCATCTCAAAAATAGCTTTTAGGCACTGAGCACTAATGATCAAGACCACAGAACTGTGGGATGACATCAAGAACATCATATAAGAAGAAAGGAAAAGATCCTTAAAAGACAAGAAATGAAAACCCACCGTAGTCCACAGGAGAGGTTCTGAAACACATATTTGGGTGTACAATAGCTAAAATGAAATAAAGAACTGAAGAAGTAAATGAGCTGAACAGAAGATTCCAAAGGGCAGCTCAAAAAGACAAAGTTATTACCGTATAAGGGAGTGTGAACAGACCTGGAGTTAGAAGCCAAAAGGGAAGAACATACTCAGTACTTATCAAGCCACAGATGTGAACATGAAATTCACTACTAGCAAATGCACATTCGTTCATTCATTCACTCAAGTACTTATTGAGAAATCTGAAAGTATCAAGCACTAGGCTAACTACTGAGATATCAAGGAACACAACTGTAGGTAGTACACCAAAACTAATAGCTATCCATTGACTCAGGGAGACCCTGCAAGGCCCCTGTGGTTTCCAAGGCTGCAGATCTTTATAGGAGTAAAAGCCTCGTCTTTCCTCCAATAATGAGGATTTGAAAGATTCAGTACAGAGAGATTATGGAGAGGAAAAGGAATGGTCTATTCTGTTAACAGATATTTGGCCATAAGAAATGGTGACTATTAAGGCAACGCAGCAACGGTGAGATAAATATAATACTGCATCAAAGAGTTACAAGTTTATATGTACCATAAGTTATTTAAAACACAAACCAAAACCAAATTCACTATCAATTTTTCATACCGACCGTGTAGGGCCTTTGTGGGTTTGTGAGACTGTAAATCTTTACAGAAGCAAAAGCCTCACAGAGCGGCTGGTGTGTTCCAACTGCTGACCCTGCGAGGTTAGCAGCCCAACGCATGACCCGAACACACCACCAGGGCTCCTTAAAAATTAACAGGGCAAAACAAAAAAGAAAAAAGAAATTAAAAGGGCAGCGAAAATCGCTTTTAAAAAAAACGTCCACAAGTAATTTATGTGTACGATGACTCACGGAAAACACCAAAACAAATTTTAAACGAGCTAGGCCTAAATTCCTAAGAAAAAGTGGCAAAGACGGCAGGCAAGCCTGACTTTTAACCAGGTGAGGCTGAGCGCGTCCAGCCGACAGCCCAGCCCAGCGCGCGCGCGCGTGCGCGTCCCATCCGGGCGAGCCGCCCGCTGCCTCCCGCCTCGCTCTGGCGGTGGCCGGGCCTGGCCTCGGCCTCAGCCCTTGCCAGACCGCCGTGCGCACCTTGACGCTCTGGTCACTGGAACAGGTCGCCATCCGCCGCCCGTGGAAATCGAACGAGACATCATGTATTAGATCCTTGTGATCCGCTGCAATGTTGTGGGCCACAAACATGGCTCCGCCGGTCACGCGTCTCCGCGGTTCGCGCCGGTCGTCTCCAGAAAACGCTGTTACGTTACGGGCACGTGCGCGCCACCAACGGCTAGAGAGTTCTGAGGCGCGCGCCAGCAAGGTTATCAGGCGCGCGCACGTGGTCCGCGCACGCACTGCGGCCCGTCATCCTCTGCGCCGCCGTAAAGAACTTCCGCCTCTCCCCTGAGTCTCGTCAGAGCGTCTTATGATCTGGCGGGGGTTGTTTTTGTAAAAGTGCTAAGAGCTCGTTTTTAAGTTTGGGAATTAAGAAAAATGATAAAAATGAAAGCTCCATTCACAGTCCTCGGCCCTGAGTCAGATTCCTTGAACGTTTTCACGGCTTAACAGCCCTGCAACGTCCTGGAAGGGAATAAAAAAGATAATGATGGATTTGGTCGCGACAGAACTCTCCTGGGCCTGCCCTGAAACAAGGAAGGGTGGGCTTGAAGAGACGGAGTGAAGAGTCCTGGTTAAACGGGCAGAAATGAAGACAACAGGGTGGCATTGAGAAGGAGAAAGGCGCTCTCGTGGAAAACGGGCAGCGAAGAAGAAACCGGATCGGGATAGTCAAACGCTGCTGAATTACGTATTTCAGTCGTAAAGCTGGCTTGGGATGTTAAGTCCCAAAGTGATAGAAATGAAAAAATTAATAGGTTTCGTATCCTATCACAGCAATCAAGCGTCGGTTATGACCAGACCTGGCTCACTGACCAGGTGCAGAAAGCATCATAACAAACTTCAGGTAACCTAGGAACAAAACTCACTGGAAAGATACCACCAGACAAGAAAGACTTTCGAAAGTGAGGAGCCTGAAAAACTATATCCTGTCAAGACACCCCCCCAACTTAATGCATATTCATGACCCTTCCCCTCTAAAACCTGTTACGTATTCATAAATCCCACAATTTACTTCCAGATAGGCATGATAAAACAGTAAAGCTTTTTTCCCCTGCCCTCTCCCTGCCTCCGCTC